CAGTCTGGAGGGAGACAGAGCCAGGGACTCCTGGGATGAGCCCTGCGCCCCACTCTGCCGTATGTTAGGGTGGTGAAGCAGACGGGAGGAACGGGGCCTCGTCCTTCCCTGGGGACCCTTCACTTAGGAAGAGAATGTCCGTCTGTTTAGAGGCAGATGGTTTAGATCTCTCTAAATGAAGGCGTTTTAGCTCAAAATGTCAAGTAGCTCCCCCTGAAGAACTGTGCAGAAATATTACAAGGCCACACCCTGGCGCAACAGGTGGAAGGCAGCCGTGAGCACTCAGTGGCGTCTGCGTGACACTGGGCTCGGGAGGCGGCGGCAGACGTGCCGTGCGCTGCTCATTCCTGGGTTACAGCAGCGTCCCATCGTTCTTCAGGCCGACACCCCTGAGAGGCCCCAGGCGCGTGGGGTGGGGGTTGGTTCCTTCACACTCCTGAGCCCTCCCTCTGCCCTCTTACTGGCTCCATCTTCCCTCTGTCCGTGGCCAGCCTCCATAAAGAGGGCCCGCACCCTCCGGCCAGCCCCTCCCAGCCCGGTCCCCACTACTACCCTGGGAGAGGCTCTGTTATCGCGACCCCCACATGGCACCAGCCTCAGTTCAGCCCTGGCACTGCCTGTGTCCTGGTTCCTTCCTGTCCCCGGGAGCCACACCGTCCTTTGTAGATGGTGCTTCTTCAGACACTGAGGAGGTTGTGCTGGCGACTTGAGAGCAGGGGGCTTTCCCCAGACGCAAACCATGTTGGAACAGGGGAACATGAACACATGGAGGAGTTTCTCAGGGGTGACTTCTCAGGACCCTGAGGTGGCCATTTCCTGCTCACCCTGGAATTCTTGGATTTTAATTTCGCACAGTTTGGGAGGAGAGTGTCCAGTTCCCAGGCAGCCCAAATCCAGGGTGGTGGCGCCCTCTGCTGCCCAGAGTACCACACTGCCCAGCCACTAGCAGGGGAGGGGTCTTTACTGTTCTCATGCACTGCTCTCCTGGCTCCGGGCTGCTTCAGGAAAGACACCTTCACACTTCCCACCTGTCCCGGAACTCAGGGAGACTGGGGAACGCTGTCTCCTGTCCCCCTCCTGTACTTTTCACTCTGTGGGGCCTCTGGGAGTCCCCACTCAGAGAACCCAAGATAAGGGACCTGGAGCACACTCAACCAGCCCCACCCCAAAGCCCTCAGCCACGAGTGACAGCCCAGCCCAGGCTGCCTGCTCAGACACTCCGGCAGGACAGGAAGGCTACAGAACGCTGAAGGACAGGGGCCAGGGGCAGACTGCTGTGTCGGAGCCCTGCGCCCCACATAGGGGGCTGTACCCCGGGGCACCACACATAACTTCACTGAAGGGCCATCTTCCTTGTCTGTGGAACGGACACAGGGACAGTCCACATGACGTGAAATGGTCCACGGCACGTGCTCAGTGAATGTTAGACAGACCCCTGTGGTTTCAGGCACTGGCACCCCCACAGGCCACACCCTCATCAGAGCCCCCAGAACCCTGTTCTCAGGCAGAGCTGAGTGGGCAGCATGGCCTTTCCTTCCTGGACCCCCCCCCTGGAGTATCCAGGCTCAGAAGCAGAGTTGGGGTGCCACCTCCCCTTCCCTGGCCAGGAACCCCGTTTCCTGACCGAAGCTTCGGCCTCTGTTGCCCGCAGGTGGAAACGTGGATGGGAAGTTCAGTGTCGGCTACCGTGATGCCGTGGTGAGAACAGTGGTGAGCCTGGACCGGGAGACCACAGCCGCGTACACACTCGTCCTGGAGGCAATAGGTACGCACCGGTGCCCCGCCCGTGCCCCCCACCCCGCCGGTGGTGTACTACTACATAGTTGCTCTAGGCAGAGTTCGCAGGAGGCGCCCTCCGGGAGCCAGGCCTTGAGCCAAAGGCTCTGCCCCGATGCCAGTGGGGGAAGGGCGGCCAGGCGCCCGACACACTGCGGAGTACTTCCAGGCACGAGGCCCAGGGCCCTGCATGCGCGGCACTGAGACGGGGTACCAGGAGTGACACGGGAACCAAGCGAAAGACCTGCACGTAGACAAATCGCTGCAGAACCAGGCAGAGCAAAGCAGAAAGGGAGGCGGGACGACCCAAGAGTAGCAGGACCGAGAGTGGTGGGAACATGGTGGGTGCAGGGGTGACCAAAGAAGGCTTCTTGGAGGAAGTGGCACAGGGCGTGCCTTTGGGTCAGTGAGGACTCTTGGCTACAAGTTTTAGAATAAAATGAACTGACTTCAGGGACATGGGGTCACAGCGCCAGTCTGCTGGAAGATAGACGGGGCTTCTGGTACGACGGCTTGGGGCTCCGGAGACGCCACCAGGCCTCGGTCTCTCTGCGTTGGCTGTTCTGCCTCCTGCATGTTGGCTTCACCCTCTGCCTCACATGGAGACAAATCACTGCTGCAGCCCCGGCCTCAACCATCCCGGGTTCAGGTGTAGCAGCAGGGAGACAGCACCTGTCTCTCCCCCCATCTCCCCCGCTGAAGCCCGAGATGATCTCTGATTAGTCCCACCTGCCCTGTTGCCTGTACCTGAACCCCTGGTCATGGTCAGTAGGGGCGAGACGTGCTGGTACCATAGGCCCCAATCACATGCCGTCCCCAGAGCTGGGGCGTGGTCAGACCCACCTGGAACCCCAGGCCTCAGAGTCAGGAAGGTGGGTTCTTGGAGCAGCCTTCAGGGCGCGGCCTTACTTAAGAGCAGGGCAATGCTACAGGCAGAAACGAGGCAGGCCTACCACCACCTTGAAGGCCAAGTGCAACTGCCTTCAGTGCAAGGAGCAGTGGGGAGGGCGTTTCAGGAAGAGGAGCCAGCCCATGCCAGGGCCTGTGGGTGGGGAAGAGCCGTGTATGTGCCCTTCTGCTGCCCCGTAGTGGGGTGTATATGGGCAAGGGAGGCTGCGATCAGGCCGGGCCAGTGTATGGAGGCCTAAGGTTGACCAGGAAGGCTGGTCGCTGGTTCCCAGGCAGCAGGAGCCCCTGCGGGCTCTGGACAGGACCTGGGTGTGGTGAGACCTCCCCGATGACCCTGGTGCTCAGAGGCACCCCGGTCCATGTCCGCAGGCAGCTCTGGGTGGAAAGCCGATGTGCTCCCGGCGCCTCACTCTCTCCAGCCGGCAGTCCCTCCCAGCCTGCCCACACCCACGCGTGTCTTCCCTCTGCCCTGCTCTCCTCCCCCCGGGGCAGCCACACCGCCCACTGGAGACACGTCATCCCCACTGAGTCCAGCCTTCAGGACAAGCACTGGCCAGCAGGAGCACAGGGCTTAGGCTTGGCCTTCTATGTCCTGCCAGCGCCCACTGTCCCCGCCGGACGGGGCAAGTAAGCAGGACCCCAGGGTAGTGGGAGGCTGGTCCCGGACCGGAGCTTAAGAGGACAGGATGACTCAGGATAGGTCACTGCACCCTGGCGTGTGGTCAGCTGCTCTGGGGAAGAGGCGGGGGACAGAGTCACCACTGGCCCTCAGCCAACTCTAGCTGCCGGTGCTCCTCCCAGGGCTGACGGTCCTCGCCGAGACTTGCAGTGCTGGTCACAGACGCTCTCTCCGGGGAGGGTGACCCAACAGCTGCCCCTGGGGCTGAGCCACATCCCCACTCTGGGCGGGGCCTGCAGGTGCTGCAGGGGCAGGCCCCCGGCTATCTTAGGCTTGGAAACTCAGGCAGGGGCCGCCGCCCGGACACAGCAAGTCCACAGACTGAACCCGTCCCGGGGGCATGTTTGACCAGCTTTGCGTCTCTTAGTGAATGACAGTTGTGAACATTCACAAACCAGATTTTATTTAAACGCTCGTGTTCCACTTCTCTTGAGAAGTCAGACTTAGTGTCACTGGGCCTGCGTTTCACCTCGCCATCATGGACTGGAGCAGAGGACAGTGGCCCTGGCAGGTGGGCGTGCCCAGGCGGGCACCCAGGGACCTGACCCGCCAGGTCCCAACAGCAGCTGGCCTCGTGACCTCAGTGCCCGAATCTGTTTCTCAGGCTGCTCATGGCTTGAAAGAACAGAAATGCATCCTCTCATGGCCCTGGAAGCCAGGAATTAAATTAAGGGCCACACTCTCTGCTAAGGCTCCAGGGAGACCCCTGCCTTGACTCTGCTGGGTCCTGGTGGCTCTGAGTGTTTTCAGCTTGTAGCCTGAGCACTCCAGCCTCCGCCTCCAACGTGACGTGGCCCTCTCCCTCGTCCCCTCTCCCGCGTCCCCTCTCCCTCCGCCGTTCTTCTATCAGCACCCTTGTCATTCAGGGCCCACCTGGTAATCCAGGATGTGCCATCCCAAGATCCTGAATTAATTATATCTTCAAAGACCCTTTTCCCCAATAAGTTTACATTCACAAATTCCCAGGGATTTGACATGGTGTATTTTTGGGGGGCTACCATCCAACCCATTTCATGCCTCAGTTCCCTCCTCTGTAAAATGGGGACGATAATACTAATAATAGCGCCTGCCTCACAGGCTGCTGGGCGACTGAGTGAGCTAGAATGGTAGCTGGGGCCTATCGGATAGTGTTAGTGCTATTCCTAATCTGAAAAGGGAAAGAGCCACCCTGTAAAGGCTGCGGCTGGGGTGAGCGGGGCACGTGCCCAGGAACTTGAGCCTTCAGGCAGCTGCTGACAGCCCGCCCTCCATCACCTCCCACAGACAACGGCCCCGTGGGCAAGCGGCGCACCGGCACCGCCACCGTGTTCGTCACTGTCCTGGACGTGAATGACAACCGGCCCATCTTCCTGCAGAGCAGCTACGAAGCCAGTGTACCCGAGGACATCCCTGAGGGCCACAGCATCGTGCAGGTAGGGGGCCGTGGCCCCCTGGGGTGGCTGGTGAGCTGGGGGCAGGCAGAGCCACACTCGGCCCTGAGCACAGGGGCCCCATGGCACCATGGCGGGGGGAAGGGCGGGGAGGCAGGAGAGGGTCCGGCTGCTATTCTGGGAGTGGCCAGTGCAATGGGGGGAAGGACACCGGGCCCCCTCCTTCCTCCTGGGGAGAGTAGGACCCCAGGTTACATAGTCAAGGACAGGGCTCTGGCTCCTCCTCCAAACGCACAGGAAGCAGCCTCAGCCTCCCTCTTCTCCCTTCCCCCGCAGCCTCCTCCCAGTCCCCTACCCAGATGAGCCTTTCAGAGCAGGGAGGAGATGGCGGTGTCACACTTTCCCAGAAACGAGTAGAGAGAGCCAGGGTCCAACAAGGCCCAGAACAGAGCGGCTTTCACAGGGCCCTTGGCCGAAACTCCCCTCTCGGGAAGTAAACAGGCACCAGAAGAAAGGGAGCAGACTCAGTGGGAGGCTGGCGAGGACCTGAGAACGAGCCCGGCGCCCTCCCCCGAGCCTGGGGGCCTTCGTTGCTGGGTGGGGAGCGAGGCCAGGAATGAATTGCTCTCTTCATCAGCTGCGAGGGTTTCCGACTAGGAGGCTGAGCCAAACACAGCAAATCTGGGCCTGTCCGCTGGCGCGGACTCTGGGCTTGGGAGGCTGGGAGTGGGATGGGAGCAGGGTGCTGATTCCCAGAGGCACCGAGAGTCCAGAACAACATGGGGTTTGCAAGGGCCTGGGGCTGGTTCCAGCAGGAGGAAGGGGGAGGCCCTCTCCCTGCGGGTCTCCACCCCTGGGCGCTTGGGGAGCTCCTCCCCCCAGCCTGATACCTGCAGCCCTGGCTCACTTATGGGTCTTCCAGGACCAGCTGGGAACACACCTGGGGGTACGGCCAGGACTTTGAGAGCCCCCTCCCCAACCCCAGCCTTTTCTTCAGGGCTCAGGACAACCTAACTCCCCCCACTCCAACCTCCTCTCCAGGAGGAGGACAGTGGGGGCCAAGCAGGGTGCCCGGCCAGAGGCCGACTGTGTACAGGAGGAATTCCTCCTGGGATGTCTCAGGGAGGCCTAGGGACTCGGGGAGGGGGACCATGGAGAGGTAAACACGCGGGAAGGGAGGGGTAAGAGCCTATCGGGAGAGGGCCTGCCCCGCTTTCTAAAGAAGTGGTTTCTATCACACGGCATGACTCAGACTGAAATCCTGGACCCCACCAGCAATACGGGCAGCCCTGGTTCTCCCCGTCTCTCAGGGAGAAATGCAGGCACTAGTGATTCTCCGGAAAGTAAGTTTCTGTCCAAGCAGGCCTCACCCTTTGACGCACTGACATACTGACATGGAAGGAGGGTACGTGGTGGAGGGCAGGGGGGCTTTCCAACAGGGAGAAAGCTTCTCTGGAGGGGCATCTGAGGGAAGAAGAAGATTCCTTAGGCTTTGGGGGTGTGGGGACGCACCAGGCCAGGGCTCCCTTCACTCAGCGAACAGAGCCCCCAAGGTCTGCGCCCCAGCCGGTGGAGCAGAGGGAGGGGCTGGACACAGCCTCCCAGGCTTGCAGGAGGGGGAAGACATGGATAGACAGGGCTGACCCATACCACCAAAGGGATATGATCCCTGTCCTTTCTCCCCGGGGTGAGAAGAGTAGGGGCGGTTCCAAGCGGGAGGGGACTTTCAGCTGGAGAGCAAAGAGCGCTTCACTGGGGGCTGCTCTGTGAAACATGAGGCACAGCCAGGGGAAGACAGGTAGTTCCGTTTGCCTGGTGTCTTGGGTCAAGATAAGGCTAGAGAGAGAGTTCAGAGCCAGTTCCCAGAAGCCATTGAACACCAGACTGAGGGGCTCTGGCTTTTACTCAGCAAGAATTAGGGAGCCAGGGATGGTTTTGGAGCTGGGGAGTCGTAAACTAGAACTCACTCTCTGAGAAGACCTGGCTAGCTGCACCGTGGGGTCATGGCAGGGTGGGGTGGGCAGCCCCCTGGCCAGATGACCCTGGCCAGCGGCCAGACCCCTTTTGCCTCTTCTCTGGACGTGGGACCCAACCACAGCATAGAGCCCTGGCTTTGTGAGGAGAGGTTAAGAGTCAGGGATTCTAAGAAGCCCACCCTCAGTGGGATTGCTTTGACAGGTAGCCTGTCAATGAAGCGATCGCCTAAAAGATGGAACACCCAGTGTGGTCCAGGTTTGAAGTCCCACATCTGTCCTGCAGAAACCTGGACCTTCCAACCCGAGGGGAGGCTGCCACCTTCCCTGTGTGAGGCACAGAGCCCCTGTGACGAGTCCTCACATCGCCTCACCTTCAGGGGCTGGCAGAGCCACCTGCCACTCTGGCCTCTGCAGGGAGCTCCCTAACCCATTCTCCCCTCTTCCTGAGCCATCCCAATGTGCTGTGTTGAAGGGGGACAGTCAGGACGGCGGCTGGGTAGTCAGTGCGGAGAGCCCCACTTGACCCTCCTCTCAGCAGGCACCCAGGCATCTGACCACCGTGAGGGTGCTGGCTGCTCCCAGGATTACCAGGCAGACGCAGACAGGAGGTCCGAGAGGAGCCCCTGGGTTCCCTTTAGCCTTGGGCCCTGAGTTGGCCCGGAGGCAGGACAGCGCCTTGTCCCCGGTGTGGGCTGCATTTTCACTTGGCTGGAGGGAATCTTTGGCCATTTGGTCACTCGCACTGAAATCCCAGCCAGGTTTGGCCCTGGAGGGTGGGCGTGGCTGCTGTTGGGAATGGGAGTAGCCTTCTCCCTGAAGGTGGTTGGTACCCAGTTGCCAGGAAGGAACCATGGGAGCCCCTGGTTGTACTCTCCAGAGCCTGGGGCCAGGGGTCCAGATGGCTGCAGGTTCTCTCCGATTGGTCCAGCAGTCTTTCAGCAGGCAGCAGCTAGGGGGTCTGCAGAGAGCAAGGTACTACTATGCAGGGCCTTCTCTGGGAAAGGCCGTGAACCTGGGCACACGGGATGTCTGGGCCACTGTCTTCCTGCAGCCTGTGGTGCGAGGCTGTGTCCAAGGGATAAGACTCCGAGGGTAGCTCCTGGGTGGTGGGGATGGCCTGTCACATCTTGGTAGATTCTGTGCAGTCCCAATCAGGGCTGTCATTGTGGTCCGGCAGGGAGCGTCGAGGTGCGGGCCAGCCACGGCGGAAGCTGTGCAGGGAGCGGCGCAGGGAGCCCAGGCGCTTCCAGAGCTGGAGCTGGGGCTCACCAGGGCTCCCCGGGTGGTGGGGCATGCACTCTCGAGCCTGGCGGCTTGGGTCCAGCGCTGCCGGCTTGCAAAGGGTCATGAACAGCAGACAGGAGGCCAGCAGGAAGAAGATGCAGGCCAAGGCGATGAGCACGGGGAGGGGGTCCGCTGCCTCCATGGGGCTCCCCGGAGTGACAGGAGTCACGAAGGGGCTGGGGCCCCCTGTGCTCATGGCTCCTGCAATAAGAATGGGACAGAAGCTCAGAGGCACATCAGCTGGACCCAGGGCTGGGGAGGGGACACGGGGAGGGGCTGGGCACTGCTAAACTAGCAGCAGAGAGCATCTCAGCCTTTGCACAGTTTAGAACAGGGAGGCCCACAGAAGTGACAAGTCTAAGGTCACACAGCAGAAAATCGATGGAGCTGGGCCCAAACTCAGGGCCTCTGTCTACTCTGTCCCCCTGCCCGCCTGCGGGGGAAGAGCTGGAAAGGCAGTGCCTTCCGGCATTTAAAAATCAATTCTCATGAATTACAATAGTCTTAGAACCGAAAACCTGGGATCTAAGACCAAGTCCATCAATAACTTGCTCTGTGACAGGAATGAGTCACGGATTACAGGGTGCCAGCGCTGGCAGCGACCCCGGCAATCATTCGATGCCTGACGCCAGGGCTGGAAACCGGGGCCCGCCAGCACATTTCATTTGGTTCTTGCAATATTTTTATCCATGTAAATTGTGATTTTAAAACCACAAACAAACAAAAAACAAGAGATTTCACAAAAATACCTGAGTGTCTGGAATCTCTTGAAATTGCAGGATTTCGACCCTGGCAATGTAAGGCTGGTTGTGTGTGGCACCTGGTGGCTGCAGCTGAGCGGGGCCCTGGCCCGCAGCCCCCACACTCCCCACAGGTCCACTGCAGGGAGCTCCACCCTGCTAGTCCGACTGTACACCTCACTCACCTGCCTGGTCCCAGGGGCATTCCTATTGGTGCTTCCCAAGATAGTCCAAGCTGCTCCCGTGACAAGGGAGGATCTGAGGCCCAAATAAGGGCAGGCCAGGCCCAAGGGCGCACCTGTGGGCAGGAAGCAGGCTCACGGACTCCGGGCCCCACGGCCTTGCCAACCAACTGGTTCCCACCCCTGGAGAGCTCCCTGAGCCGCTCTGAGAACAGGTGGAAAATAACCCACAGAGAACAGTGGAGTTGACAAGACAGGGCTCTAACCCCACACAACACCAGTCCCTGTTATCACTTAAGAGCATCCCGTTAGAGGGAGGAGGGCAGATGGTCCTTGTAGATGAGGCTGAGCTTTCGGTCACAAACCAAAATGCAGACAGAGCCAGGCTGGTGGGTAGCACCCGGCCAAGAGGGCAGTGGGCAAGCCCGCCTGGGGTGCTGTCAGGGGCTTTGGCCAGGCAACGGGAGGCTGGGCCGCAGGCCCCGTGCAGTCGGCTCTCCCAGTTTCCCGAGAGAAGCCAGAAACCTGCATTTTTAGGCAAACTCTCCTGATGTTTAAATGTTGGCAACTAATTCAAATTTGGGTTAACGTGAGAGTGGGGGAGGGAGAGAGAGAGAAAACACTGCAAAGACCAAATAAATGCGATTCCAAACACTTAGGGATGGATTTCAAAATATTTAAAACAATGGAGCAGGCCAAGCAAAACTCATAAGCAGGCTACACCCAGCTTTGCAATCTTTGATTTCTATAAACACAGGCCAGGAACCCCCAAAGATGGTCCAATAACAGTCATTTATTTCTCTTTGACCTTGGAGACTTTGGTGAGACTGGAGTTAGAGGGTCCCTTCTTTCCCCAGCTTGCAGCCTCGGCCACCTCACAGTCATGTGTCCGCACCCGCACTCAGGAGGACCATGTCAGCAGGCAGGAGGGAGTGGACAGGGGCCACCCCGCTTTCACCCTCCAGACCCCCACCCCCGCCCCCCCCCCGCAGGCACTCACCAACAGCCACAGGACCTAACTCCGGGCTCCCCGTGCCAGCCTGCTTCCTGCCCACAGCATCGCCCTGTGCCTGGCAGACTGAGGGCATCCAGTGCACCCCACCCCACCTCCCACCCACTCCCTACCACCACTCCTCCCAGCATTTCCAGGCAGAACAGGACCCCTCCCAGCTCCCAGCTCCCAGCTCCCAGCTGGAAACTCTGATGGCCGTCTAGCAGCCCAGGGCCTCCGCCTTGTAGGCATCGCCTAGAGAGCACCCTGGCCAGGCAGCCATATGTGGGCGGGCCCTTCCTTGAATCTGAGTGGAGAGAGGGATGGGGATGGGGTGTGCCCACCACCGTGTCCCATAGGAAGGAAACCGGCTGCCCCTCTATTCTGCCCCAGGCTGTGCTTGGCTGGGAGTGAGCAAAGTGAGCAAAAGGAGTCTCCACCCTGCTAGTCCGACTGTTATTTCACAGCCGTCACACAGATCTGCAGACCTATCAGGCCAGCAAAGCAGGTCCTGGCGCCAGTGCTTGGGGAAGCACTTTAATAAAAAGATCCAAGAGGCTTTAAGCATCTGAGTAATTCCCTCAGAAGCAAGAGATTCCAAAGTGCTTGGGAACAGTGAGCCCCCGTCCCTGGAGCACCGACCAGGCCGGCGGCCAGGCCCCTTGATGCCCCCTCTGACCAGTCAGGCCTGCCTGGTCCAGAAGGGGAGACCTCCTCCAGACCAAGGCTAGGAATCACTTTAAGGGCAGGTGAAGTCTCTCCCACACTCCTGGAGTCTAGGACATCCCAGAAGACCTGCTCTGCACAGAGCTCTGTGAGCTTAGTCTAGAACCTTCTTTCTTGCCTCAGAATCCATAGAGCAGGACGCATCTTACTGTGTGGTCTCGGGCTAGCCACTGCCCCTCATTAGGACCTCCACTCTCTACAAAAGCAGAGAATTCCCCCAGGGCCAACCACACCCCCATGTGACCCCCGTGACCCCCATGACCCCCGTGACCCCAGCAAGGGTCTGCCCCACTCTCCTCAGCAGGCCTTCTCCTGCAGCCCCCCAAGCACTGACCTCAGAGCCAGCCCTCTGCAGTCCCAGGCCAGATGCAGGGTCTTCTTGCTGTCCAAAGGAGACCCAAGGAGCCCCAGGGCCACCTGTGACCCCAGCCTACCCTGGACTCTGCAGTGCCCAGTGTCCCTCAGTCACCCAGGCTGGGCAGAGTGGGTCACGTCCCTTCCCTCTCCTGCTAGCCCTGGCTTTGTCTGGAAGTTTGGGCTCTGCCTTGGGGGAGGGGACACCCCAGAGGGTAGGGATGGCAACTGGGTCGGGAGAGGGAGCGGGGAGCTGTGTGCCTGAGCCTTCCCAGGGCCTCACTCCAGCCTGTCTCCTTGGAGCCCTCCGGCCGGGCGGAGGCGCAGGGAGGACCCTGGGGGAAGGTTTCAATGCCTCTGCAGCCCTATGGCTCTCACCTTCCCCCATTGGACGTGTGAATGGTACGGTCTGCAGCCAGCGGGCCTATTCAGGGTCTGCCAGCCTCCAGGTTACCAGGGAGAGGGGCTCCCCGTGGTGGGAACAGGCAGAGAGATGGGCCTCAGGGCCCCTCCTCCCCTCCCCAGCCCCTGGGCCTTTCACCTTCCAGGCTTCTCCCTCAACTTTCCAGAGAAGTACTTTCCCTTTGAAGGTGGCTACAGAAGTGAAGGGTGAGAGGCATTTTCGAAAGTCAAAGAGATCGCAGGGCCTTTGAAAGCCCAACACTGAGGGCCGGCCAAAGCTGTGCTCCTTGCAGTTCGGGTGGGCCCTTGGAGCCCCCCCAGTTAGTGGCTCTCTGTACACTACACACCACCATGTCCCCCCACACACACATCCTGACCCCCAGCCACACACCCCTGCACTCCACATACCCACACCCCACACACCCTCACACGCCCCCACACCCAACCTCCCCCAACACACACACCCTCCACACCCCTGCCCCACACCCACACACACCCACACGCACAGACACCTCCCCCAACTTCTTTCTTTCCAGGAACCAGAGCTTCCCTGGCAACAAGCTGCCTCCTTAGGAGCCTAAGTCTTAGGCAGCTTCTCAATCAAGGACCCCCAAGCTCCTAGAAATACAGCACAGAGGGGCAAGTCGTGGCTCCGCCCAAGACCCGAGCCTGGGGCCCCCCCCTCTTTTGGAGCCCTAGTTGGGATATTTAGCTTCTTCCTCCTATTCCTAGCGCTCAGCCCCAAAAGAAGCATTCTCTGCACAGCCCCAAGTGGATGGGAGCCTTCCGTGGACTGTCGAAGTCCATTAGATGACCGAGGAGTCATCGCATGTCCAGCCCCCTCCCCCTCAGATGATAAAACCGAGGTCCAGAGAGGTGTGGCCTGGCCAGGGTCACCCAGTCAGGCATCCACGCAATCCACCACCCTGGGTGAGGTCCCTGGGAGCTCAGAGGCTGAAGGAGGGAGCCGTGGAGGTAGGAGCCAACCTGGTCAAGCCTGGGCCCATCAGCCACCTTCTCCTCATCCTCCCCACGCACCTGGAGGGGGTCAGAGAACAGAGCTGGCAGGCCCCCTGCCGTGGACAGGGCAGCATGGAGACCTCGTGGGGGATGAGAAAGACAGACGTGTCCTCTCCTATCCCATACCCCAGCGTCTGTGGAAAACCACAGGTGTGGGCAGGCCAGGCTGGGGGAGGTGCGGAGGGAAGAAGAGGGACTCCAGAAACATCTTCTCTCCTGTGGAGTGGAATTCAAAGACTTACCTGATATCATTCTTCCTCAGCTACAGGCCACAGATGCCGACGAGGGCGAGTTCGGGCTTGTGTGGTACCGCATCCTTCATGGTGAGTGGCAGGGGCCAGCCCTTCGCCCTGGGCAGAGCTCTCTAGGCTCCCAGGGGTCTGGGAGGCGAAGCCAAGGTGGCCCCAAGTGCTGTACACACAGGCGGGCCAGAGGGAGGGAGCGGGGACGTTCTCCAAATGCTCGCGCCCTGTTGGATGTCTTTTAAGTTTGGGTGCTACACTTGACTGCTTTGCTCCTGAAGTTCCTCATGTCCCACAGCCGGACACCACCCTAACAGAGGGGGACCTGGGGGACCAGGGCAGCCTTCAGCAGCAAGCTCCCCAGAGACTTGGTGTCATTGGCCCAACATGTATCACGTGCCTACCCCTTAACCATTGCCTTGGACACTGGGGCAGTGCCCCCAGCTTCCCAAAATGAGTCACAAAGCACCTGGACTGAGAGCAGTGGAGGGCGGATCCCCAGAGGAAAATCAAGTTGCTGTCACTATAAGACCTGGAGATGGACGCCGAACCAGCCCAAATAGGCCCACCAAATCCTGGCTTCCACCACCCGCAGAGAATTTGTATTGGCTCCTCTTTCTGTAGCGCCCAGATCCCTCTGAAATACTGAGTCCATCGAGGCCGCTGGGTATGGGGCGTCAGGGGTTCTCCAGACTTCCCTTTAGGAGGGTACAGAGTAAATTTCTACGCCCTCCCTCAAATCCAGCCAGGCCAGGGCAGCGTGAGACAGAGGCCCGCTTACCACTGTGGGCTTCAGCCAAGCTTCTGAGACCCCTGGGCAGGGTCAGCATTCTGGGGGCTGGGTCCCCCTTCCTTCCCCCTACCATCCCCCAAGGATCCTGCTCCAGGACAGGGCCCATGTATCTCACCTGTCTCTCCACACAGGTAACTATGGCAACCACTTCCGGATCAATGTCAGCAGTGGGCTCCTGATGCGAGGGCCCCGGCCCTTGGACCGGGAGCAGGACTCATCCCACGTGCTGATGGTAGAGGCCTACAACCACGACCTGGGCCCCATGCGGAGCTCCGTCAGGGTGAGGCCGGGGGCAGACTGGGGCGGCTCTTGGGCGGCTAGTCATCAAGTCATGAAACCCCACGTCCCCTTCTGTGATGACCTCAGGGCTGGGACACGGCCATAGCTGGACTGGATCTCCCAGTGGTGGCCCAGCAGGGCAAGGCTGCCACTGATTTAGGTTCCAAAAGACTCCTGGGGCTCAGGGTGCCGGCCTGGTGTCTCGGATGTGTCATTGTGTCCTGAGCCTCAGTTTCTCCAGATGTGGAAGAGGGTCAGTGATCGGATAAATGAGGTGTCCTTACCATACCAAC